TTCTTTCCTTCCTTCCTTGCTTTTTTACTTACTTACTTCCTCCTTCCCTACTGACTTTCTTTCTTTCCTTACTTCCTTCCTTGCTTGCTTTTTTACTTACTTCCTCCTTCCTTTCTTTCTTTCTTTCTTTCTTTAGGGGGCGTGGCCTAGCACCAGGGGGCGTGGCCTAGTGCCCGGGGGGCGGGGCTACCTGCAGGATCTCCTGCACGGTGGGCATGCTGAGCTCCAGGGAGCCGTAGTACATGAAGCGCAGGATGTGGTCGAAGCCGGCCGCCGTCAGCCCCTTCATGTGGATTTTGTCCTGGTCCCTCTCCCGCATGTCCGCCGTGAACATGACCCGGAAGTAGTCGCTCTGGGTGGCCAGCAGCGCCTTGTGGGCCTGGATCAGAGGGGAGATGGAGGGGGAGGGAGGGATGGAGGGAGGGAAGGGGGTTAACGGCTCTGACTGAGACATTACAGCTTTAAAATGACTTGTTCCTCTCTTATTGGTCCAATTATTTATTTCCTCAATCAGGATGGAGGACAACTTGAGTAGTACTGAATGGTTATTTATTTATTTTCTTATGCATCTATTTATGTATTTATTTATTTATTTATCTATCTATTTATGTATCTATTTATTTATGTTTAATAAAGGCATAATTGACTTATTTATATATATTTTTCTAACGTTTTTCCTATTTATGTTCTTTATTTTCTCCTCTTTTATTGGTCCAATTATTTATTTCCTCAATCAGGATGGAGGACCACTTGAGTAGTACTGGATGTTTATTTATTTATGTATTTATCTATGTTTAATAAAGGCATAATTGCCTTATGTATATTTTTCCCCATTTATGGTCTTTATTTTCTCCTCTCTTATTGGTCAAATTAATCATTTCCTGAATCAGTATGGAGGACCACTTGAGTAGTACTGGATGGTTATTTATTTGTTATTTATTTATGCATATATTTATGTATTCATTTCTTTTTGTTTAATAAAGGCATTATTGACTTATTTATATATTATTTTCTAATGTTTCTCCCATTCATGGTCTTTTTTTATCCTCTCTCATTGGTCCAATTATGTATTTCTTCAATCAGGATAGAGGACAACTTGAGTAGTACTGGATGGTTATTTATCTATTTATGTATCTATTTATGTATTTATTTATTTTTGTTTAATAAAGGCATTATTGACTTATTTATATGTATATTTTTCTAATGTTTTTCCCATTTATTGTCTTTATTTTCTCCTCTCCTATTGGTCCAATTCATTATTTCCTGAATCAGGATGGAGGACAACTTGAGTAGTACTGGATGGGTGTTGCTATCTATCTATCTATCTATCTATCTATCTATCTATCTATCTATCTATCTATCTATCTATCTATCTATCTATCTATCTATCTATGTTTAATAAAGGCATAATATACTTATTTGTGTATATTTTTATAATGTTTTTCCCATTTATTATCTTTATTTTCTCCTCTTTTATTGGTCCAATTATTTTTTTCCTATTTATTTACAACTTGGGTAGTGCTGGATGGTTATTTATTTATTTATTTATTTATTTATTTATTTAGTTATGTTCAATAATGGATCTACATGTGATATTCTGTCTGCTTCACAGTAAAAATATTTGAAAAAATTAGTTTTTAGCTCTTTGCCTCTGTGTTCGGTCTCAGTTCTTATTATTTGTGTGTTTATGAGTTGATGTTTTTTTTTTGTTTTTTTTACCTATTTCTAAACTGCTTGTAGTGCCAACACAAAATCTGAACTCTGAACTTTCAACACTAAAACAGAATTATTAGTCATCAATGCATTTTCAAATACTCTGTTTTACTAAAAAGTTCAAACTAATAGCAAAGAACATCATTATTTATTTATTAAGATGTCCGATTCTGTTTATTTCCTGAATACAGGAAAATAGAGTTTTAGGTATTGAATTTTCTGCTTGATGCATCCTGAAAAGGAGCATTTAGCTGCTGCACTTTGAGATTTAACGCATAACTCTTTTAGCTTTAAACAGATTTTTTTAAAGCTAAACTGGGCCTGTAAAGGTTGTGGGATGCATGTTTTCAGCTCTGTTTTAGGAGTTTTTTTTCTCTCCCAGATGAGTCTGGATTAGTAGTTTGAGCATGTTGAGGGGCAGTGTTGGGGAGTAACGGATTACATGTAACGACGTTACGTAATTTAATTACAAAAAAAGAGTAACTGGAATTCGTTACAGTTACAATGAGAAAAGATGTAATTCAGTTACAGTTACTTCCGAAAATATTAAGAATTACAAATTTAGTTACATTTTTTTAAAAATAGAAAGAAAAACCTTTGCAAAATATGCAACTCACTGATAGACGAAGCGTATTGATTTACTAATATTTGACTGTTTGGTGTTGCATGACAAACGTTTATCGATGTCTATGACCTAGCCTAGCATAGACTACCTAGCCTAGCCTAGCCTAGCCTAGCCTACCTAGCCTAGCCTA